GCACAAAGCGAGGAGAGAGGGTCTCTCCGCCTGTTGCGACCTGTTGATGTTTCTTTTGTTTCTACCTTCTAAACAAAAAACAACATCAAAATGTCAACAAGACGACATCAATAAGAAGACTGACAACAACAATGCGTTGAAAAAAGCGAAAATCAGTTGGCAGCCACTGGGTGCGATAACAACACGGTGCGGGCTGAATTGTGTGTGTGTGCCTAATGCGGACTCTGTAGCTAAAACAACTATACTAGTCATCTCCTATTGCTAACAAGATCATTATTCGGTAGACTATCAAAAAACATAGGGAAAACGGTCTTGTAGGGCCCCCTGAATACTACTATCCCTCCCGCCTACCTGTCTAACGTGGACAAACCTTGAATTCTTGGCAAGTTAGTGTAAATGAATATTTAACTGTGGTGGAAGTGATCAAAAACACAAAATTAAAGAAACTTATATGTGTTTCAATGTACTAAATCGAATCAAATCCACCAAAATAAATTTTCATTGGTCAGAATATTGATGCCAATTGAGGGAAATTCAACCTTATATTGGCGGCATTTAACAGAAAATGGCGAATTCGGCCTTGTATTAGCGGAATTTAACGAAAGGGGAAAATTCGAGCAGCTTATTATAACAAGTCAAAGGCAAAAAGAACCTCTGAAGACAGTTCTGCAAAAATGTGCACAAATTTACTACCCCAGTGTGGAAGATAAAAAAAAACAGGTTTTTACGAACCCTGTGGAGGAACTGAGGCCAGCAGAGAAGCCGGCACCACCCTTTAAGTGATTCATGGAGTTGGAGGACTGCGAGCCGAGGTTGCCATCGGCCTGCATCCTGATAAATGGGTTCTGATCTAGCCTGCTGATCTGCGGCTGATTATTACTTTGCTGAGGCACGTCGCCAACCCGATCACTGGTGGGGGTAGTCCTTTCCGCCGGGGATGTGGGCCGGTACTTTAAACTAGAAACAGATAAATAAAAAAACAGCAAAGACACGTCAGTCAAGTAGGAGTTGACGAGAATATAAATTTGAAGAAAATATGTTCTCTGGGATAAAAAAAGGTAAATTTACTCAGTAAATTATCGAAATCGGTTCCCCAGCTTCGGCTTTGTCTGCAGCAGCCATGATACAAGCGTTTGATACAGTAAACGGTATTATTGCTGTTCAGAAGAAGAAGAAGAAGAAGAAGAAGATGCGACCACTGGAACAAGAATTCTATTTTCCTGACATTTCGGATTCTGACGAGAATCCTTAATCATAGGTAATCATAGGATAGTCTGAGATATGCGCAGATAGGGGTGATACATGCAAAGATTGCATAGCATTTATAGTTCGTAAATGTCATCAGAATGCGCACTATAATTATCAGCTCCTGTTGTCACCGCTTGGGGTTTTAATTGGTGCGGTGATGGCTTGACACTTCACGGTCGACTCATTAATTGTCGCGTTCTCCTTGTCCGTGTCGGATGCGAGCTTGATAATTGCGCGACAAATATGTTCGCTGTCGTCAGAGCTGTAGCTGGGCTCGGCCCTTCCCACGTGACTCATTCTCTTGCTCAGGCAATGTCTCAGTACGCACTACTGCAGCACTGTCATGGTAGGAAAGGCTGAAGTCGTTTACCGGATCTGATGCGGTTGTGGACAAAGCAACTACGTCGGAGAAGCCGGTAGATTATTCCGGACGCGAATGGCCGAGTATGCAGCGGCGATGGCGGCGTGTCAAGCTATCACCGCACCAATTAAGACTCCAAGCGGAGGCTACAGGAGCTGATAATTACAGTACGCATGCGGATGACCGCTACGAACTATAATTACTGTGCAATCTGTGCATGTGTCACCCTTATCTGCGTATGTCTCAGACTATCCTACGATTACCTATGATTAAGAATTCTCGACAGAATCTGAAACGTCAGGAAAATAAAACTCTTGTTCCAGTGATCGCATCTTCTCCTTCTTAACTGTATTATTATGGCGAACGGACACAATGCCTGTTCCCCTTCGTTCTCCAATGCTCGCTGCCCCAAAGTCATGTATCGTCACAGATGACTGTTGCCCACCGTTGACCTAAAACGCTTAACTGAAGTGACTTGCATACACACGCACGCACACGCGTGCCCAACTGTTCGCAGTTTCTTAAGGACCACTTCAACGCGTCCTTTCAACCGACGCAGTATGAGCTTCAATACTCGACACTCCCCTCGGACAAATGCGACACCAATCACGCCCCACTTGAACTAGCTTCATAGTCCTGCAAAAGCGGCTGCCATTATCACAACACTCAGTCAACACTCTTAGGCACGACTGGAAGCGGTCACCACCAGCCCTGGCTCCGCCAGTGGCCACAGTTGCCTGGGGCAGCAACATAGGTTTCCGTGCACAATAAAGCCCTCATTCTGGTGACTTGTGCCTTTTACCTTCTACCTGGGATTCGATCTGATGATTGAAGTGATCTGAGTGCAACAACTACCTAGACCCTTACATTACGCAGTGGTTGCCCGGAGTATCTTCAAAGAAGCCCTAAGCATTCCTAGACATTTTGCGGCCCCTGACCTATAAACAATAAAAAACTTTACCTCTGTAACTTACCATTCATAGTTATAATAGTAGTAAGTTAGAAGGGAGAGCATTCAATGGGAGTGGCGTATTGTGTGCGAGTGAAGGTTTAAGTAGTTGTGTCGAAAAAAGAGCTGCATAAGACGAAAGTAATGGGCCGGACTATTCAGTCTCTGAAGATGGGTAGACGAGACAACTAACCGAAACGTCAGGCATACAACAAAACTCTCGCGCTGAACCTTCTTCTGATTTGTTATTCATAGTCTGTGTTTTACGGAAGATTGACTGAAATCAGAACGGGCGTTTCGGATTATAAATGATTACGTAGGCAGTTTTGCAGCATAATCTCCGGGGTATTTCCGCGATGCCCAGATGCTGGTTTTTGAATGTCCCCCTTTCTTATCAGTTATTTTTTACGCAAGGCGAGGTTAACTATGGCGTTAAAGGTTTATAATTATGACACTGCGCCCTTTTTGATTTATGGGAGTCTGCGCGCCCAGCGCTCCTGCGCTGACTCAGCCTGTCCTCGTCGGCCATGACTTGAATCACGCGTGTCCAATAAATTCGCGTCAAAAGCTATCGACTGACTCGCTGTTTCAAACGCGCGTACGCTCGATGTCAATCGATACACACGCTTCATCTGATTGGCTGTGCAGACGAGATAACACGAAATCGCGCAGGCAAAGCTACACAACAAACACACCCTCACGGACAAACCCGGCATGGAGACACCACTGGCAGTTGGCTCGTAGCGCATGCTTTGGACAGTTAATGTTCTAATATAGTAGTATTCCGACAAGACGAGAATGGCAATTCCTGGCTCATTAGCCGTCGTCAGCTAGAGATACCCAACTTCAGTGTTGCAGCTGAAATTGCTGCCACACTCGAGATTCGAATTCGTGTGTCTCCGGTCAGAGGCAAACGTCCTATTAGTTAATTTTCTTGCAGTAAAGCTGTTAGAAGTTATTCTGGCTTCCCTGATTATCTGCTGTCGACGCAACTAACTTCGACAGATTCTTGATTGATTGCTAAGAAAAGCCTGCTTGGCAGTCCACTTACTGTATAAGAATTGGTGGATTACATAGACATTGTAGTATGCTGAACAAGTAACCGGATACCAGCATGTTTGCACTCATTGCTCCAGTGAGGCCTCCTACACCTTGCTGACGTGGTTTTGAAGCCCAGACCGAGACCAACGATCTTTTATAGCTGCGTCAAACGAATTATCATATTTGTAAGACAGTGGAATGACCATTATTTAGCATGGTATTTAGCAGTTTTTTAGTGTGTCTTAGCAGATATTTCGTATGTTTTCCTAAACTTTAGGCGGCTCATCAGATAGATAATTTTCTTTGAAAAGTGTAAACGCAAAGGGGTAAAAAGGGATCGGATTCAAAAGTATTTGGAACTTTAAGAAATGCATTAAAACCGAAAGGGTACCTTTAGGCATGTTTTATCGAAAAATAATATTTGATTTTGTCAAGGCATTGACAATCAACACGAGTCTTCCATCCTATTTTAGTACTGTCACTTTTGAGTTGATCCAATTGTGGAAAACTCGAGACGCTCGGTGGGATTTTAACCCGCGTAGTAGAGAAGGCCTTTACCGGAGGCCAACGCTCTAACCACTTAGCTACAAACGCCCCACCTCGCGCCACGAATTTAATCACACTTAGGTCGATATTACCCGCCAAACTTTACCGCTCGTATGAAATTCACCAATACGGAACAGCAAGCTGACTGCCCAAGCAGGATTTTCAAAGCAGTCATCTAGAATCCACCAGAATGACTACGAGGCTTACTTAATTATAAGAAGATTTGGCAG